CCTCCCCGGACAATTCACCAAAGAAAACCTTGGTCTCCGATACCTTACCCTCTTCGATAGGAACTGTAAAATCGACAGTTACCTCCCAGCAAACCCAGAAACCCAGTGTGCCAAATGCCTCGAATATGGCCATAGACAGGAACGCTGCTCCAACAGCGGAAGATGCGGACACTGTGCCGAGGAACACCAAACCAAAGACCACCCATGCACAGAATGCGCCGGAGGCCTCAGATGCTCACACACACCTATCCGATGCTACCACTGCAAAGCCCCCCACAAAGCAACAGACGCCAACTGCCCGGAACGAACCAAAGTCCGAATCACAAACAGACTCGGACCAGACACAAACCCAAGCCCGCTACCAATTCCCGTAGTTATCCCGGCCCAAGAACACCAACAAGAAGACGCAGCCATGGACAACACCCAATGAGTCACATCAAAAGAACCACGGCTATCGCACAGCAACTGAACTGTGCGAAAAACGAGCTAACAACAAAGTCAGTAGTGGAGGAAGCAGAACAAGACCACAACATACTATTTCTTTTGTTACAAGAACCATGGAACAATAAGGACGGCCACCCACCGGAATCCCCTCTTTTTTATCTATTCACAGCCAGCAACAAGGGCACCAAAGCCGCCACATACATCAGAAAACATGCCAATCTAAAACCAAAATACCATTACACGCACAACAACTTCATCGTCTCCGTCACGGTGGAAATTCAGAACCAAAAAACACAAATACTCAACATATACTCACCAGGGCGAAGCGGACCTTTCGCAGAAATCTCCCACCAAATAATCACCATCCAAAACTGCCTCGTCATGGGAGACTTCAATAGCCACCACCAACTCTGGTATGGACACAGATCCCACGACTACACCAATACGATAAGAGCAGACAAATCGGGATCCAAGAAGCTTAAAAGATGGATAGACCAACAAAAGTTATCCCTACTCAACGAACCAGGCAAATTCACACATTTCCCCAGGAACAACAATAGACCGACCATCATCGATCTGACACTCGTAAAAGGACCAGTACTGGACCATGACGTCCGCTGGAACATCGACCGATATGGAGCAGGTTCTGATCATGGGAAAACGATCCTGCAACTACGAATAGAGAAACCCCCCCATATCCCCAGAAGACTATGGCACCGAACGAACTGGGAGAAACTGGAAAAAAACATCTCAGGCCTCCACTTCCCCCCCGAAGCATGGGAAAGCCAGAACCACACAAAGCAATCGGTCGACTTCATACTCGATCATATAGACAATCTGATAGATCAAGTAACCCCATGGAGCCAAGGACACCTTAAATCCAAAAAATGGTGGACCCCAGAGCTGAAGGAAATTAAATCAACCCTCAACACACTAGAAAGGAAAGCCAGGAACACCCAAAAGGACGAAGATAGGGAATCTTTCAGGAAGACCAGCAGGAAATGGACGGCAGCAATCCGGAAAGCCAAGACAGAACAAAGGGAAAAAGAACTCATGGAAGCCAAGGGAAGCGCCATTTGGAAACTAGTCAGCACAGGGAAAAGAAGGGACTCTACAATCCCAACTATACAAGGTGAAGAAACGTTTGCGGGGAAGTGCCAAGCTCTAAGAGCCCAACTCTTCCCCACAAATTGGACGTCCCCCGACAACCCTCCACTCCAAATCAGACCCCCCTCTTTTGACCTTAGTGACGATTTTCAGGAAGTAACAACAGAAGAAATTACATCCGCAATCAGATCATGCCCGACACACTCGGCCACCGGACCCGATAACATCCCATACCCGTTTATACAGGCAACAATCAAGGCAAACACCCAACTCTTCCAAGACATGTTCTCGGCCATGCTCCGATATGGAGTCCAGCCGGATCGATGGAAAGCGGCAAAATGCATACCGATCCCGAAACCAGGAAAATCTGACTATTCGTCAGCCAAAGCCTACCGACCTATCTCCCTATTACAATGCTTCAGCAAAGTACTGGAAAAGATAGTGGCAACAAGACTATGCACCGCCGGATCCATCCTGGAGACCCTCAGCAAAGACCAGTTTGGAAGAAGACCAACAATCTCAGCGATCGATGCCCTACTACGGACTCTCACGCCCATACAACAAAACCTCCTAATCAAACGAACTACAGGAACCACCCCAGACAGACCAGCCCTCCTCAAAAATGATATACAGGGAGCTTTCAACTGCGTCAACCACCTCCTACTCGCAGAAATCATGACCCAACAAAAATTCCCAACATACCTAACCAACTGGTGCAAGGAATTCAACACCAACCGAACACTCCAATTCCAATTTAACCACGAACTGGAACCACCACAACCATATGCCTCAGGACTACCCCAAGGCTCCCCCCTCTCCCCAGTTTTATTCATGATATACGCCGGGGTGATAACAGACCCCACCAACTCCCCCAAAGAAACCAACACCACCTATATCGACGATGACGCACTCGTACAACTCGCAAAGTCCCCCCTCTTCATCACCAAAAGACTCAATGAAAGAATGGCGGAGAGGGTCAAGAAAGCAGCACCCCTCAATATCAAATACGAACCTCAGAAATCCGACCTGGTCTTCTTCAAACCCACATCATCGAACATTCCAACTCCCAGAAACTCGGTAACAATCGCAAAAGAAGAAATCCAACCTAAAGATAGACTCAAATACGTTGGAGTCTGGCTGGACTCAAACCTCTCCTTCCGACCCCACATCGAAGAAATCATCGCCAAAGGCCTGAAAGCCCTAAGCAGAATCAGAAACATCGCACACCTCCCTGGGACAACGGTAAAATCCATCCACCACCTCATCGTCCAAGGCTTCCTCCCTACCATCCTATGGGGATCAGAGGCATGGTGGACAGGAGCCGACCACATCCTCCGATCACTATCCCCACTCTATAACGAAGCCGCCAGAATAGTAACAGGCCTACCCCGCTGGACAAAAACCGAAAGACTGCTGAAAGAGGCAGCACTCCCCCCACTTGAACACCTCCTCAACCACAAATCACGAAAATACGGGACGCGCATCCTTTGCCATCCTGCCGACCACCCACTCAACGAAGGACTTATACAGCTCCTCCCCACCAAGATAAAAAACATAAAAGGCACAGGCCTACACCGAATAGCATCACTCATGCTACCCTTCCAAGAACCAGGCAACCGCAGAGAGCGATGGATCCAAAACGACACCCTTACCAAACGCATGCTGGAAGAATGGAATTCCATCCCATGCACCAACTACCATGAGCCAGGAACCCTTAAAATTCACCCCAAACGAGCAAAACTCCCCCGATCCAAAGCGAAACTCATACACCGCATACGATGCCAAGCCACCAGATTAGACAGACACGCAGCATTCACGGAACCTGAACCCTGTCAATGTGGCTCGGAACAATCCTCCAAACACACCATGATCGACTGCCCGCGATGGGCCCAAATACGAAGGCCACTTATGGATAAAATCCAAGGACCGTACACCTGGGAAAACTGGCTATTTACCAACCTCAACGTAGAACTGATTCTACAATTCGCATCAAAAACCAACCTACTCGACTGGTACGAAATGGACGAGGAGGACCCGGAGGAATGACGATAGGTTTCTTTGATTTCTCTTTCCCTTTCTGTACCTTCTTTTGATCTTCGTTGCGTTCCGCTTTCCGTTTTCTTTTCCTTTGTCTTCTTTGTTTTCTTTGTTTTCTTTCCCTATGTTTATGGCGGAGGATCCGGCATGCGATAAGTCCTGTACTTCAAAGCAATATAAAAATCTATCTATCTTCTGTATTTCTCTACCGCAACCATTGTCCGTACCTGGCATATCATACCAGGTAGGACCACTTCTATATCTACGCTGGTTCTCAATACATACGCTATTACTTCTCTTCTTCACGAAGACCTTCGCGCCTCGCTTGACCTCGCTTGACCTCGCTTGCCTAAAATCGACAGCTTCTACTGTCGCAGATCATACCCTGCGGAATACATGCTATCACCGCACTTGAGAATTCAATACCGTGATCCTCCGCCTAATACTAAATACAATATGTTATTTAAAACCCTAACTAACCCTAATACGATATACGAATCAGAAGAAATCCCCCACTATCTCCCTTAGTGTTTGGGGGAATGGCCAGTACTAAGCGGTAATTCTGTAGCGTTTAAACTGATGATATTGTAAACCTGATTCCCTTGACTTGATGGTTGATGATACACTCAAGTCTTCGCAGAATCCTGCCCTATTTATACATGTTGGAACCTATGCCAAGGCCCGCTTTCTAATACTAACTGATACAACGATCATAGAATAAGATAACGCTCCCGAAGATAACCCAGATAGAAAAGCGCCCCCGCATAGTTCCGTCCCCTATTCTAATCCCGACACGTAATCCAGAACCTTGCAATTGCCAGTCATCGGGTTGTATCATACTATTGTCCTATACCTACTTCCCTGAGCAGAACAGCCTGCAGCCGTAAGCCCCACTTCCTATTCTATTTCGGGTGAGACACCCAATAGTAAGCGTGCCGTCACAATAGTATAGTACTAATGTAGTGACTGTAACGGCAATATCCTATTCCGGCTAAGGTGATAGATTGGATTGTGAAGAGAAGGTATTGTGCAGTTTCTTTAGGATTTGTAATGAGGGTTCTGCTATGTTCTTTTGGTTTCCGTTACGCAGGGTATTAGTCATCAACGGACTAGGAGCTGGATATATAAGGGGGCGTTGCCTCGTGCCCTTTCATGTTTTCCTTCCTTTCCTCTTCTCTTCACCCAACTTTTGTATTTACTTCACGAATACTACGTTTGTTCTACGTCTCATCATAGGGCTCAACTGGTTTGTCATACTAGGTAGAGCCACCCCATAGTCCATAGCCAAGAATACTTATTGCTACGTCCTCGCCTCGGTTGTATTCCTTGACGCTACAGTCCCCACGCCAATAGACCCCCGTTACACTAAGTTGCATCCTCTATCGCCAACCAATACAACACCATAGCCTACGATGTCGGGACACGCCCCTATTGATTATCAACAGCTAAGCGAGGCCCTTCAAACCTTTTTCCAAGAACACCCAGAGGTGGACAACAATGTCGGGATAGAAGCTTATGCACTTCTCCAACGTGCCCAACATGGGCTTGCTCAGTATGCAATGGATCTACAGGAGGTGGAGAGGGAGGCTGGAAATGCAAGGGAGATGTTTGAACGAGACCTTGCTACTACTCGAACTCAACGGGTTGCTGTCGAAGTGGTTGCCCCTGATGAAGAACCAATTGGGAGTGATGATGTCCTACCTGTGCTCCCCCTACCACCCGTTATAGCTACTACCAAAACGGTCGGAGAAACTTCCAGATCCTGAGGTATTTCGAGGAGATCGTGATCGAGAAATATTACACCTATTCAAGCAACAGATGAGGATTAAGTTATTGGGAAATGCCGACCGCTTCCCCACACTACAGTCTAAGCTATCCTACGCATTTAGTCGACTGGAAGATGTCGCTGTAACGGGGGCAGTCTATCTATGTATCGCTAGAATCCAATAGAACAGATGCGGCCGTGCAAGATAGAAATCAGGTGCAGATTTATTCAAAAGATACTATCGCTAGAACTCAATAATCTTTAAGGGCTCTGCTACCGATGATGGTCTACTCGAAGATGAGGATCAGGTCAGTTGGGCGGGAATGATCCTGAGTACTTATACTCCAAAGGATTCTATTCTCTGCTCCTACTTCCTTACTAAGTTCCGGTGCTGCCTCCTGGTGGAAGGGAAGCAATACCATCGCTACCCCGCTTCTCTCTAAGCGTCAGCGAGTGCTTCCGATTCCGAAGGCAACCACCCTTAATCAAAGCCTTTGTAACACCTGCAGCCTTTGTTGCCACACAACTAGGGCCTGCATGAATGAGCTGCCGCTCAGGTGTAAGCTTAATCATTGCTGTAGAGCTTCCGCTTATTGTAGACTTCCCAGGCATAGTCTCTTCCACTACTGGCGGACTTCCAATGCTCAGAGGATGTGGAGGATCGCTGAGCACTCAGAGCTTCACTCTGGCTAGCCTTCTAATCATTGGCGAGGCACAGACTCGTCAGTCATTGCTCCCATGAGTAGATTCTCTTCCTAGCGCTCAGAATGTAGTTACTCTGACAGTTGGTAGCTAACCACACTGCCGGTACTTGCATGTCACTGTGCAACTGGCTTCTAACAATAACTCTCAGCATGTAACCGGGCCCTGCGTGTACTCATACACCAAACAGTTGAAATGGCTCCGTTACACTACTCCCCTCTTCCAGGATCTTGGTCTCCGAGATCTATAGTCCGTATCCATTTATCTATACAATACTATATGACAAGGAAACTCCTTTGGTGTGAAAGGGGACGTGAATGTTAAAGGAAATGCTTCTGGCCTAGAGCCCTCTTATCTCTGGGCTTCTTAGGGTACCTCATATGAAAATCCCGGAGGGCTTCTTCAGCACTCTTCCTGAGATGTTCCCAGGGTTCCCATGTAGCGTCCTCATTCTCATATCCTTCCCACAGCACCAGGTATTCCACCCTTCTCCTCTTCTTATTGACTCGGCTATCAGCTACTTCCCGGACGATCCAGTTTTGTTCTCCTGTAATCTCCTCAGGTTCCGGTGGGGGAACTCTTCTCTCAGGATCTATTGGTGCTCTATAGGGTTCTAGGAGAGAGACATGGAAGACAGGGTGGATTCCCATTTGCGGGGGAAGAGAGAGCTTGTAGGCACGGGTACCAATAGCTTCTAAGATCTTGAAGGGTCCCATCTTCTTCTGATCCAATTTTCCCAATGGCCGCTTTGTTTGCACATTGCGCCGGTCTAACATAACTTCATCTCCAGGCTTGATTTCAGGGGGTGCCAGGGCATGTGCATCATACCACCGGGCCATCCTTAGTCTAGCCTTTCCCAAGCTTGCGTTCATAGCCTGCCAGATAGATTCCCATTGAGATACCATGACCTCGCTTGCTGGATTATTCCATTCAACACCTTCCTTTGGGGCCGGCCAGTTGGTTCTGGGTTCATATCCATAGTTGGCATAGAAAGCCGATACTTTGGTAGACTCAGAAACCGCCGAGTTATATGCATACTCTGCCAAAGGCAAGAGGTCTGCCCAGTCATCCTGTTGATATGAACAATAACTCCGCAAGTAATGCTCCAGGGTCTGGTTAACTCTTTCTGTTTGGCCGTCCGTTTGGGGATGGAAAGAAGTGGACATCTTCAGCTTCACATTGAGGAGGCTCATGAGAGATTGCCAAAAATGAGAAATGAACCTGCTATCTCTGTCCGAGACTATGTCATCAGGTAACCCATGGAGTCTCCAGACTTCCTTCAAGAACAACTTAGCCAAATCTTCCGTTTTGTTGAGTGTAGGAAGTGGGATGTAATGTGCCATCTTTGAGAAGCGGTCCACTATTACCCAGATCTTTGTAAACCAATTGGATTCCGGTAATCCCACAATAAAGTCCATAGAGATGGAAGTCCATGGCCGATAAGGTATCTCCAGTGGTTGGAGCATACCGAACTTCTTATGTCTTGAGGTCTTATTCCTCTGGCAGCTGTCGCAGCTCCGGACATATTCCTCAACATCTTTATCCATGTTGGGCCAAAAGAAGTTGTTTTTTACCCGCTCTAATATCTTGAACTGTCCGAAATGGCCCGCCACTTTAGAGTCATGGGTATCGGTCAGGATATCCATCTGGAGCTTCTTGTCTTTGGGAATATACCATCGATTCTTGTAGAAGATGAGGCCGTCCTTGACAGACAAGTTCTGGTCCAAGTTTGGTTTCCTTTCAATCAGGGAGCGGTGCAGTTCCTGCCAGATTCCATCCTCTTTAGCTGCCATACATAGGCGCTCTAAGAATGTGTTCTGCAATTGATTCACCCTGACAGCCGCTAGCTTAACAGGATCCAAAACCAATTGACCTGGCCTAAAAAACATCTGTGGCTCCGGCCGCAAGGTTTCACTCCCCTCTTCAGGGCGGTGATCCCAACGCCTTGATAGCACATCAGGTTTGCCATTCCTTTCTCCCGGTCTGTAGACAACTTTGAAATTGTAGCCTGCTAGGTCCTCAGACCATCTAGCTTGCCGCCTAGTGAGAACCTTGGTAGAGTTGAAGTACTCTAAATTCTTGTGGTCTGTGAAAACCGTGATCTCCTGCTCGCAACTCTTGAGCATATGCTCCCATTCCCGGAAAGATGCTACTATAGCTCCCATTTCCTTATCATGAATGTCATAGTTGATCTCAGCCGGGGAGAACTTCTTAGAATAGAAAGCTACCGGGTGTAATTTCCCATCTTCCCCATACTGAGAGAGCACCGCTCCTTTGGCAAAGTCACTGGCATCAGTTTCGACCACAGTTCTTCTGCTAGGGTCAAAATGGAGAAGGATTGGAGCGCTTGTGAATAGCCTCTTGAGTTCCTCAAATGCTTGTTCACAGACTGCGGTCCAATGCCATTTCTTGTCATTTTGCAAGAGGTCGGTCAATGGTTTGCAAACTTTACTGAAGCCTTCAATAAAGCGGCGATAGAAGTTTGCAAATCCCAGGAAACCTTGCACTCCCTTAATATTTCGGGGTACTGGCCATTCCTGAACCGCCTCTACCTTGTCCTCTGACATAGATACTCCCCTTTCCGAGATGTGGTAGCCAAGATATTCTACTTCTCGGACATGGAAGGATGTCTTGCTGATGGAGGCACACAGTTTTGCTTCTCTGAGCTTCTGTAGAACCTTCTCAACCAGCCTTTCATGCTCTTCCTCAGTCTCTGAGTAGATGAGGATGTCGTCGATATAGACAACCACTCCTTCATCCAGTAGTTCCTTTAGCACATCATTGATCATTGCCTGGAAGGCGGAAGGGGCGTTGCATAGACCGAATGGCATCACATTATACTGATACAGTCCATAGCGGGTTCTGAAAGCGGTTTTCCACTCATGACCTTCTGCTATCCTGATCAAGTTGAAGCCATTCTTCAGGTCTATCTTTGTGAAGATCTTGGCTTTGAACAACCTATCCCTGAGCTCACTCATGATAGGCAGCGGATACTTGTCCTTGACAGTGACCTTGTTCAACCCTCTGTAATCAACACAAATTCGCCATGTCCCATCCTTCTTAGGTGTGAACAATATGGGCGCCGCTGCTGGGCTGCTAGATCTAGAGATCTTTCCTAAAGACAACTCTTTGTCCAGGTACTCTCGGAGGGCTTTCAGCTCTGGAGCGGAACATGGGTATAGTGGGCCAAATGGGGGAGCGGTACCAGGCAAGAGGTTGATCTTCAGATCATTTCGGGAGTGTGGAGGCAGCTCCTGTATCTTCTCTTGACTGAATACGTCGGCCCATTCCCTATAGCGGAGAGGTATCCTTTCAGAGATATCTCCTCCATCCTCATCATGCCATACTGAAGCGGCCAGTTGATACACTACATCTTCTTCTTCCATCAGTTGGTATGAAGAGATGAGTTCAAACTTGATCGCTGCTGGGAGACAGTTCTGCTTGCAGTAGTCACTTCGCCAGCTTATGGTATTGAGTTCCCAATTGATATCCGGGTTGTGCTTCCTTGCCCATGCAATTGGCAGGTAACCTGATATTCCTTCTTCCAAAGTAGCCACTTCCCATCGGAGTGTCTCCTTATGATCTCCCATGTTCATGTGGACTGGGTGAGTGTAATACTCTCCTCCGCCCATCATGACATCTCCTTGAGCATCATACATTGTCAGAGGTTGATCTCGCCGCACTAAGGGAACTCCATGCTTCCTGACAAAACTCTGGTTGAGAATTGCTCCTGTACAACCGGTGTCAAAGAGGAATGTCCCTTGGGCGTCTTCAACTTTGTTCTTGACCGTCCATGACAGTTCTGCTTTCAGTATTGGCCTCTTGCCATGTACTGGTAAGGATGGAAGCTTCTGTTCCATTCTTCTTCGCTTCTGTGCGGGTTCTGGGCTTGATTCTCTTTGTCTTTTCTCCATTGCTAATAGCTGCGGGCACTACTAAGATCAAGAGATCCTTTGGTTCTATTCCCAAGCAATAATATAGCAAGTGTATTGTGTGGAAGTCTGGTAGCGGGCTGGAAGTGTCTTGTAGCAAATGTAACTTTGGCAGAGCACTTACAGACCAGCTGTTTCGGGTCATAAACCCATCCTCAGAGTGCTTGGAAACAATCAAATAGGCGAGAAACACAAAAATTTATTCAAGAGAAACAAAGAAATCGAGACCCAAAAGAAAACTAGTAAACATAGACTCTAAACAGACATTTCTACCAGATGATTTCATTGTCCGAGTCTTGCTCAGGCTGAAAGACGAAATCTTCTGTCACCTCTGGGAGTACAACAAGTGGTTCCTCTGCTACAACCG